TACAACTAATGTACCATAAAAAGACTTATTACGTTTCCGGTTCTTCCCCAAAGCGAGATTTGACACGGAATATCGGCCAAAAAATCACCTTCAATAATCACGTTATTATTATCTATCTTTACCAATAAAACGACTCATGAGGCGGAAAATCAATGGAAATGATGATATACTTCGGGCCGATGTATCTATTAGATTATTTATTATTAAAGGTACCTTTTACTAGGCTTATGCATTTATCATCAATGTCTGCGTCACTACCAACCAACTGATCCAATATTATTTCGTATCTTATTTATGTGAATAGGTGGCGACTAAGTGGTTCAACTGATATTAAGTGATTACCGATAACTGCAACATGAAAAATTGATAAATTTCACATTTATATTGTGTTAACAAGAAATAGCGTTGTTTTGCGAATATCGAAAATAGCGATAGCGTTTTTTCAGGTATATAAAATGCTTACGCCAATGTGTCAGCATTTTTCGTTGCCAGTCTAAAAAAGTCGTGTGCCTTGCTTCGATCACTCACCATCGGTATTTTTGTGCTGGTTTGCATAAAGATGATTACAGTGAGCCTTTTATTAATAAAATTTGTAATTTTTATGGTGATAGCATGCCTTAGCTTTGACATCAGATCCTTTTGTGGAGCAAGGTGGCATACAACCAAGCTACTCACTTGATCTTAAGCGATTTCCGCCGCCTAGAGATGTCCACAAAAGCCTTGATAGGATTGGCGACCTTTAAAAAGGTGGGCATCGCATACCTCACTCGACAGACGAAATGCAAAAGTATATTACTAATAATTTTACCAGCCTCCTGTGAGGGCACAGCGCTTTCTCGGACAAGCCTGCCCGTTCAAGCCAGAATAGACGCTACTGCGTGGCTAACAACTGTATCATATGCGAAAATAAACCACAAGTAGCGTCATTTACTCTGACTATCGAAAAAAGCAATAGTTTTATATCAGGCATAAAATGGTAAGACATTTTTCGCCACGTGTGGCTGGTATGACCCGAATAACAAATCTGCAATTAGCATATCTACCCGATAAGCAGAACCAAAGCATCAATCATAGCATTGTTATTGCAGCCGAGTCTCGTGATAAAAAATATTTATTTGCTACTTTACAAATACAATGGGCCAACGATCATATCATTTATAAGACAACAATTAAAACATAATTTTTGTTAATAAATGCGTTGACTCACACATTTTGTATGTGCTAAATCGAGAGAGTTTTTCGAGAGGATTGCTGTCACTAATATTCTTAGAAAAAGTTATGATATTAACAGAGGAATATCAGATCAGGAATATATGAAACTCCAAGATCGAGCACCTATATAAATAGATATTAGAATTCTTACTAAAACTATGGTAAAAGTTGGAACAAGGTATGATATTAAAGAAAATCTTACGAATTCTGCAACACAATCGCAAGATGTCATCGTGATACTGAATAAGGTTTTCACATACACCGTTCGAGGGTTATCTAATACCTTTAAACGAGCAACTCTTGTATATATATAATGGAATCTCCGAAACGGCTCCAGCGATTTTCATGAAATTTAGGCTGATACAAAAGGCTGCGGTTCGTGTCACGATCATTTACACATTTTTTTCTATACCATATCATTGCTTTCTTTATTTTTTATTTCCAAAATACACGATTTACCAAAAAAAAACCGAGCAAAGCGGTCCTCCAGGTACTTTGTATATGAATTGGTGAAAAGTCAACACACGATTCATAATGTCAAGTGATCATTAAAGCCCTTGGCCCAAAAAACACCTGCATTAACCCTAGTCAATGCGTTGCCAATCATGAAATTCCAGGTACCGGTAACATCACTCCAGATACCGGACACGAAGAATTGCCTTTATCTTTATCCTTAAGAGAACGTGAAGCTATCTCACTAACGCCCGGTTTCTGAAACACTGCCCATCGTAAAAGTAACTAATCAGCTGTCAATCGATACGGTGATCAGTGTTTCAGAAACCGGGCCTGACTCACACATCTAAAACCTGGTCTACTTCTTCTCCGATCGTACAGAATAATTCGTTCAACGGTTTAAGCTGATAGCCGCTGTGCCAAATTAAAAGAATTTATGTTGCCTAAAACAAATATTTAAAAAAAACTTTTAAGAAGATACTAATCATCGAGCTGCAACGAACATTTAATACCTTATCATAATTAAGATCTTGAAACTGTCTTAATTAAAAAAAAAGACTAAGTAAACAGGTCAGACACGCAGTAAACCTGTCAGTACACAGCCTTGTCCAAAGCAATGAATTCACTTTTCTTTTAAATCCTAAACAATACTTACCTTCGTAGCTATACAATGCTATCGAGCAGTTTTTAATCTTTTGTCTTGATTAAAACACTTTCATGATTAGTTTATAATACGGCGATCAACGACATCAGTTATGCTACCTTAAGTGAATTAAGCAAAGGCACAACTATAAGTGGTTCATTTATCACAGTTCTTCTATCTTTATACTGTTTTAGCCTGTCATACCGCAAATAAATCAAATGAATCTAAAGAACTAGAGATTAAATAGTTTTCAATCGCTGTAAAAGGTTTGATGATCAGGGAGTTAATGAGCAGGAATACTGTTTTTGATGCAGTGAGGGCACCTGAAAATAATGATAAATCTACAAAATCTCAAGATGTAGAATCTTTTTTGTCTGTTTTCGCTTTTCGCTTATTCATAAGGGACTATGTAAGGCTTCATAGGACACAAAAAAATGATGTGGTGTCCTGGGACACCAGGTAGGAACGAAGTTCCTTCGGCTAATGTAGAATCGACACAAATTGCAAAAAAAAATCGTGCTCAATTTTATGTAGGTTTTCTTGATTTTTCTCTTAAATTTTGCTGATTAGTTTTTATTTAAGTACAAGAAAGTATTTAGGAAATTCAGTATTTTAGGAAATAAAAAATTACTTAAAACAAAAAAACATCGTAATTCAAATTATCAACTAAAATAACAAAATATGTCTCTTTATTTTTGTTTGACAACATAAAATTATGCGACTGTCGCGCCTGCGCACGTCTCATTTAACGGTTTTATTCCACGCACTTTTTTCCACGCACTTTTTCTTACGGTTTTACTATCACATTTTTTTCAGTTCGGTCGCGCAGCAAAATCCCTATCCCCTCCAAGCCTGCAGTAAGGAACTTCGTTCCAATATAAGCCACAGCTCAACTCATTTAAAATGTTATCAATAAAAATATATAAAAAAAATGTTATCATCTGTACATCGAAAAATATTTAGGCTTATTAACGCTTACTAATGGGTGCTTATCTGCTAATTTTATCCATGTGTGTTATCGTTCCAGAAAAATCACTATAGATACGGGCGCACGCAAAATTGAACCCTATTAAAATTGCGAATGTCGTTAACGAAGACGCTTAAGAAGTTTTGATACAAGTTCAGAAAGGTGACTTGGTGACAATCGGCACTCTACTATCTTTAATACATAACTAAATAAATATATGAATGCAATATTATTAATATGAATCGAATGACGTAAGAGTTTGATAAATTTAGCAATAAACGTTAAAGGTTAAACAACATCTTGCATCTATTAAAGTTTCTTTCATTCGAAGTGGTTGGACACAGGACAGTTTTACTGAAGACATTATAGATAGCATTTACATTATTATCTTTACATCTAAAGAGGAGAGAAGAAAGAAATCCAAGATACGTATAATTTTGACACAGGTATATTAATATATCTCAGCCATCATATATAACATAACATATATACACAAAGTTCATACATATAACTTTGTGTATATATGTTAGTAAAACATCGCAATCAAATATAATGGAAACTATTACCGCAGCATCTAAACGCAATAATTCCTATGCCCAATTACAAGTTTTAACAATAATATTTATCATCGCTCTTAGCTATATTAAAATCGTGGTAAGCTCCTAAATTGCGCGTGAGGACGAATGGAAGGTGATTGGAAGAAATCACTTGACATAGGTTCAACAGTGAGCTCGTAAAGATGATGTAATAAATTAATACACTGTCGTAATTTTTAGCCTTTGCTCTTCTAATATCTCTACTAGTCGTCTTGAGCACGCCAAGGTTCAAAAACAGGAATAACTTTTTAGGAAACATATTGTTTTCAAATATATTACTGACCTTAAAATTTTTATCTTTCACAATATTTAACTGGGAAGCGTTCAACGTCAGACATTTCACACTGATGTATAAACAAATAAAATTTAAACTTTGATACCGTATAACGACGTTTAAGAGTCGCTCCAGTTTCAAATCTATTTAAAGCTGTCATTGGTGATTATATGATTAGTTCATTTGTAACTTGGCTATAAATACTTAACACGAAGAACACGCGTCCGCCTTGGCCCCATTGATAGCCTAAAAGTGAACATAAGGAATAAAACATTCATTGCTACAAATAGGATACATTTTAAATAAGAATCAGACAGGCGCCACAAGATTGACAGCGATAAATGATTATATCAATGAGAATAATATTTTTTATATATGTTATTTAAAGGTGGTATAATAAGTAACTAATTCTATTCAAACACAAATTATAACTAAAATCACATCATCTCTAATATCACATAGTATAAAACAAAGCCGTCCCGCTGTCTGTCTGTCCCTATGTATGCATAGATCTTTTAGAATACGCAACGGATCTTGATGCGATTTTTTTTTACTAGATAGAGTGATTCAAGAGGAAGGTTTATATGTATAATACATTGGACTGCAAAGAATGGTCGCGGGTCACTAGTAGGCTATAAACTTCAAATTCAAAAGTCACTAATATTCCCGAGTTCAGTAATTTTGGGTCCGCCACGTCGTCAAGGGCACAATTCAGTTTCCTAGTAAACAAACGAAAACAGCAAATCGTTAATAAGTCCAGTCGACTCTTGTTTCCTTAATCGACGCGCGGAATAATACATAATGTCAACAGCTATCAGGAGAAACGATTAATTAGCTCGAGTGGAAACGTTCTCAACCACGCAGACGCGCGTGGACGGGCGTTGCATCGGCCCTTGGACAAGTAAGGCGGTGGCAGCCCTGCACGCCGCGGGCAGCCCTGCATCCCCGCTGTTTGCGGTGGAATCTTCCCGCCCAGCGATAACCCCGCGATAGCGCGGCGCCCCGCACGAGACAGCGTTTGCCCGCGCTATTTTTAATCGGGAGGATGCCGCAGCACATAATATTATTGACACTAGCGGCCGCCCGTCCATTGGACACGTGCTCCGAGGCCCCAGTCGGCTTATCTAATTGGAATTCTCCGTTCGTAATGTTATTGTCACGTCGTAACTCTCGCCCATATCTGTTTGTGATTTATTTATAGCCGTTTCAGGGAAAGAGAAATTGAATTCGTTGCGCGAACGTGCTCTATGCACTCGGCACCGCAGACTGATTGCTTTGTTTTTATTTTATCTTAATAGCGTAGTTTATTTTTAAAGGATTTATGTAGTTGTTGAGAGTTTTAATGTTTTATGATATTCAAGTTATATTCATAAGCAAGTACATAGCGGTGTTAGAGTTATTGGAAAGTAGAGTTGTTGCTTATTCAATTTTATGTATCGTAATGATATAATGTTAAATATCATCAGATTAATAATAATATAATAAAGCACATTTGTATTAGTTTATTACACTCGACTAAAATAACTTCATGTGTATTGTGCCGAAATTGATACATGAAACCATGAAAGTAATCAAGATTTTCTTCTCACACATTTTTTTTGTTAGCTTAACCACTTTATTCTGTGACCATTTTTCTTGTACGCCACATACATTCAGATTTTAATGTCATGGAAAACATTTTTTTAAGTCACTTTGTTGTCCCAATTATTCGGTCACATAGTTGACAAAAGGCCGCCATTAATGGAAGTTTGTATTACATTTGCGTTTCCTCTGGTGCATGGTGCATGAGGTAACAGTGACCCATTCTATTATGAATATACAATTCTTCAAAAGCCTCACCTGCAACGGTAGTACATGTCGCGTGAACAAAACTGACAACATGGCCAATAAACCCCTCAGTATTGTTAAAAGTACCTCATTAATCATTACCGATGCCACCACGATGGCTGGTACACTAACAGGTCCCAAGGCCACACATCCACGGCAATAAATCTAAATTCGCCACCGACCTATCACTAATCTACGCCTTATAAAACACAATAGACGTTGGCGAACGTAGCCTTCTGGCTAATAAAATCCGAGCACCAACTGACCCCAACAAAGGATTTGTGATATTGTCAAGTATATGCCTATTGGGCGACTTCTACGTTAGTCGTTACAAGGTCACAAACAAACGTGACGGTGTTAAAAATAATCTCCTGTACTAACCAAGAATTAAATTTTTTAAATCTTTTCTGTTAAAATTTGTATCTTAGCCAAAACGTCCTAAATTTGTCAATTATCTTTATTGAAGTTTTATTACTGCAAATACCTCCTCGAAACTGAGCACATCAAAAACTCACCGTTCACAATATCTATAAAGGAATCTTTAAAAGCTCAATTTGAAATCGAGATACTAATTTCAAATTGTCATTCGCCGACATAAACCATGATGAATAAAATAACACGTTTTTGTAGACTCAACAAATCCCTTACAATGTCAGAGTTAAATCTGCGAGATTATGCTTAGCTGGTATGGATCGGCGGAGCAATGGCTGAGCTATTGACTGTTACACCAGGGTCGTGGGTTCGATTCCCACAACGGGCAAGTATGATAGGTGACCCACAGATAATTTATCCGGATCTGGGTGTTTATTCCCAAGGAGGAAGGTTGGTGGCCGATAGTAAAAAATCTAACCAATCCCATTAAAAATGTGATCCACATACTGTGCCAACCCCACTTTGATAGGATAAGGTCAAGATGATGATGGGCGGAAACTACAACCTAACCTTACAAATCACAAACATGTAAGTTTTTCTTCGAACACCGGTTAAACTTTGAGACAGTGATTTCTGTGCACTTATAAATATTTTAGGAAACATTATTACACTTTTCTAGTGCCAAATTAAACAACGCTTGTACTATTATGAGTACTAGATAACTGATAAACACACTTTTCTTTTGTAAATAAATACATAAACCAGACACTGGAAAAACATTATGTTCATCACAAAATAATTTTCCAGTAGTGGGATCGAACCCACACCCTCTGGCGCAAGAGGAAAGGACCCACTATGCCAATTGGGTCGTCGGTAATTCATTAAGCCGCAGATTCTTTTATTTAAGTTTCATTTTAGAAATTTTATAACTTTGTACTTACGCTTCCATATTTATGATTTAGTGTTCCGTACGGTCGAGCCGACGATATTAATTAAAAACTGGTTGAAATTAGAAATATCCTTTGGAGAAAACTTTAACATAGAAATTTTAGGAATTACTAGTATGAAAATTTTCCACTTTTTTGTAATTCGTAACAGTATTGAGTCGTTAACTAAATATTCAATAACTATTAAATATTTTCATTATATATATTTTAATAATTATTGAATTATATAGTTAAATAAATTTAATTGGGTACAGATTGAAATCGGGGTTAATAAAACATGTGTTCATAATGTATCAATGCTTTTCTTTATTCTTCTGTTACATGAGAAATTCATAATAAAATATTCAATAATGTATAAATAACGGCAAACGGTATAACTATGGGCTGTCTATTACTGTTGGTGTTCTTTCTTACTTATAATATTGGTTTAAAGTTACTATCGTAACAAAAAGTGTCTTCAATACGGACACAAGCGTAATTATGGATTCTTGACTCACTACTCGATATTGTAAAGGGAACTTATGGTCACCGCTCCCATACCGGTCCATACAATAAATGTATACAATAAATATTTCGTCTATGACGTCGAGTGCAAATATTTAAGATAACGCTTGGTAAAAAAATGAGATATTTAAAAAAAAACATATAAATACAAAATGATGACTTTGCACGTTGTTGTTAGGGGAGACCGAGAGTGAATTTGACTGCGACAAGAGCGAGAAGGCAATACACGCCGCCTTCAAAGCTTGTGACGTAATGTCAATTGGGAACAGTACAAAACACATTTTGTCAGTGTTAGCTGAGACAGTACAGTCGATCTCAAAATACATTTTTCAGTGTTAGCTGGGGACCGTACAGTCGATCACAAAATACATTTTGTCAGTGTTAGCTGAGTGTTAGCTGGGGACCGTACAGTCGATCAGAAAATACATCTTGTCAGTGTTAGCTGGGGACAGTACAGTCGATCACAAAATACATTTTGTCAGCATGAGCTGGGGACCATACAGTCGACCAAAAAATTTATTTTGGCGCACAACCATTGCGTGGAACGATGTAGGAGAGGGAGGTGACGATGCGAACGGGCGACTTACAGGAGGCCCGTTCGGTGCCACTAGATGACTTTGTATCGGGCCTTGTTGATCATGTGGTGGGCGGAGCTCTGCAGTTTCAGCAGCTCCTCCTTGATGAGGCGGGTGATCTCCGACTTGGCCTTCGCCACGGCGAGCTCCTGGGAGCTCTCGATCGCGAGGTACAGCTTCCTCTCGCCCTCTGGCGGGGCTTTCCCGGGCGGGACGTAGGTGCCGCGCACGGTTATCCCCGCCTCGGAGTACTCGCTGATGAGAGCTAACGCCTCCTGAAATATCAACGGTCCGCGTGAACGATCAACCAAACCAAAATTCGGCGTCGGGGTCGTGGGTTCGATTCCACTGTGACCCACAGGTAGCTATTTATTTTTGAAAACTCCGTGGCACAGTAATATTATTCCAAGGTAAAAGCAATGTGAAAAAAGCTATAGCGGCGTCGGGACAAATTTTGTGTCGTGGGATACTTTGGTTTGTGGCGTAGAGAGTAAGTAAAATTTTATCGGTCATAATCGATAATTAAATCTATCACGATCTTGATAAAGACCTGGGATGTAAGCGTAGTTAAGTGCTCATTTTTTTCTCAAGAACAGGGGTACTTGAAAATGTTCTAAACTAAAGTATCTCACTTAATCTCACTTATAAGAGACAATATTATAAAAATATAGAAAAATCAAAAACGCTACCTAAGAATTGTATTTAAATTACAAAATACAGGTCAATAAAGGAAAATCAATAAACCTAAATATCAAACTGAATAACTATGGTATTTTTGACAGCCTTGCCAGCTAGAAAAGCCGTTAACAACACACAAGTACGTCGAAAGTTGGTTAGAGATCGCAAACGCAAAATACTAGATTGTAAATTTGCGACAGTCGACAGGATCTGAGTGTTAAATTTAAATATAAAACCAAAACTCGTCAGTACCTTGGACATATCGAACTATCTAATGGCAGAAGTGGCACCGGCGGCGGTTCAGCAGTTTAACGCAGAAGAATATGAACGCTCCGATAATGGCCAGTTTGAGCAACATCTCGACCGATCGCTTAAACGGTGTCGTGCGAACTGGCCGCGCGGTGGAATGTGGATGCAGTTGCATATTAATATACGGGGGTTATCATACTGCGTTAACCGCGACCTCTAGTGATTAACCACAAGGGTATTGGGTTGTGTTGTGTACACCACGGGACTTAACTAACTACCATTAACTTTTTTTTATGTGACAAACTGGCAAACGAGCTGGAGGTTCACCCGATGTTAAGTGATAACCGCCTGCCCGTGAACATTTGCAACACCCGCAGGGTTGCAGATGCGTTGCCACTTATTAATGAAGTGGGCCCCGGCTACCTGACTCACCAGACGAAACGCAGAAGTGTAACACTTCTGCTAGACGCCGGTCTTCTGTGTGGTACTAAGACAGACGGACGTGCCCATTCGTCCAACGGCAAACACTGCGTGGCCCTACCACCGTAGATTTAATTTAGATATTTAGATTTAACCGTTAACTTAAGTTAAAGACCAGTCGGGAAACTGATGATCGTTCTTATGCTCGGTGGACGTTGCTAAGCGGGTTGTGTGTTCCATTCCCACTCAGGGATAGTGTTTATGTGGCTGAGAGATAATTGTTTCTGTTTCATTGCATTCGATAATGCAGTCCTACAGTAAGGCAATTGTTTAAAACGGGACGCGTTCGGTTATATCATTATGGGGTTTCAATAATGCATTAAATTCCAAACCAGATGTCCAGGTCGGAACGGAGCTCCTGTATTAATATTTTTTTTAATAATTAATTCATGCCTTCAATAATACGCACAATGAATTACAGCGGGAGTAGCTACATGATACTATAATATACACACATGTGGGAAAGAGACAGAAAGAGAAATCGTCGAGCATCGTTAGTTTGCAAAGGGCTATAAATTAAAATACATAAAATACAATGCGTTTTAATCAGGTAAATAATGTAATTTACGTGATTAAAAGTGTATAAACTAGTGTTTAAAAATAACTTATCTCGAGTGTCACGTTATACGCAAAGAAATGTGACACGCGGCTATGAACTATTTGCAATTTAGTTGCAATATTGCGAAACAAAGTTCACAGCCCTTCAGGCTGATGCACTATTTTACTATCAAAGAAAAATAAGTTAATGACGCGATAAAACGGTCATCTTAATACATTGTGCATGATTCTTTTTTTATTATATTAGTGCCAGTCTGCACTCGAGATGAAATTTTAATGTGAGTTTAATAGAATTTGTAGATTCTTTTTATTGTATTCGAAGTTAATTTCAATAGCAAGGCATCGCGTCCAAATATTAATTCTAAAATGTTATTTAAAAATGTTAGCATACTGTCAGTTGATATAAGTGGATAGTTGACGAAATTTTGGTGGTCGTTGAAGATATATCGGGCACTTAGTATGGTTGGCTAAAACTTCTGGGCGTGTTAACCAGATGACGTAGTTAGGGTTAATACACGAGTACTGTATATGCTTATATTCTACTGAATCGAAGAACGAAACACACAACAATAGAGTAAGCCATCATAGACTACAGACAGAAGTGAAAACATAAAATTGGAATAACAGACTTTTTTTCTAATTTTTAAATGTATCATCACAAAACACGCGTTTAAGTGCAAAAAGACCTTTTTCATATATGACAAGTTAAATTAGTAAACAATAATTTTGAGAAATTTATTATTTGTAAATATAAAATTCAATTTTAAGATGCGTGACGATTACACAATCGCACAACTTGAAATAAGTTTTACTGAGAATGTTGACTGTAAAATGTTAACAATCAACCGCCACAGTCAATGACAAAACACGTGACACATCTGTGACGCGAACCTATAAACATTTCACTGTCGGAAGTAAAAAAGTAAAAGTAACAGCCTATACATGTCCCACTGCTGGGCAAAGGCCTCCTCTATACAGAGGGTATCAGGGCATAGTCCACCACGCGGCCCCACTGCGGATTGGCGGACTTCACATATTTTCGAAATACATTTTTCGTCGTAATAATTCGTCGGAAGTAGTCCGCGAGAAATTTTCACTTAAATAACTCAATTAATCATTATTATTGTGATTATTTCTTAATAATAATTTTAATTCAATGCTTATATTACTATAATGTTTGTATTTCATATTCACTTCATCAACAATTCTGCTATTGGTTAGTTGGTTGTGTTGCCTGTTAAAAAAGTGTTAAACAAATTTCTATCTATTAAAGAGTAGTGTGTGGGTTAAAGCTTGTACCACCACACCTTAATGTCAATGTGGGATGGATGAGCTTATGTCATTAGGATGGCGGTTAAGAATTTCAAAATAAACCAACCGATGTCACTGAATGCTTTTACTGCAATAAAATATATTAAAATTATAATTACGAACTAAAGTATATTACTACTGAGTGAAGTACTAGGTCTCGGATACGAGCGCGTGCAAGTGTCAATATGCCGTGTGCGCAGTTTTGTTAAACAATAGAAAATGTACGGCTTTGCCTGTACAAGTAGTTTTCACGTATAAATAACACTTATTCAATATTTATAAATAGTATGATAAGTTCGTGTTTCGGTGTGTACTTTGTCGGTGATATATAAATAAATAAATAAAAAGACACTTAAAAGTTGGACGACGAGGGTTACCTTGCTGGTGACCCGCCACCGCGCCTGCTGCGGGAAGTCGTTGATCTCCAGCTCGGTCTCGTATTTGCGGAACACCTCCTCGGCCGGCTCCGTGTTGGTCTCGTCGCGAGGCTGGTAGTTCAGGCGCGTGTTCAGCTTCGCGGCCAGCTGTTCGGCGACGGTCTTCGCCTGCGAACGTTCCAGAAGGGGGCGCGGTTAGCGTTAGTCAGTTCAGCTCGGTCCCATCTCGACCGACGACGCGATGGGAACGATCTATAACGGGGGGGGGGGGGGGGGGGGGGGGGGTGATGTGCGTTTCGTCGCTCAATGGGAACATTTCGAGAGAAATCTAGAGATTTTTAATTATTTTTCGGCCGAGGAACGTTCCAGAAGGGGGCACTGTCAACGAGTTCGTTTCGTGCGATCGTATCTGAACTCAGCGACGCGACGCGATCTCCAAGGGGAACGTTCTAGAAGGGTGGGGGGAGATGTGTGTTTTGCCGCTTAAGACTTTTCCGTAAGGTGTCAGATGAGAGTATCCATGGTGGGATTAGAGGCGGTGTTATTTGTGACGAACCGTGACAAGAGTGTACGTTGAATGGCGAGCTCTTAACGATCACCACGGCGGCCTGCCATCCACAGTGAAACCGGGGGAGGTGTTAGTCTGTAGCTCTTAACGATAGCCTAAACGGCCTGCCATCCACAGTGGGATTGGGGAAGTGCTAGTATGTGACTTATTGCGATAAGGGTGTGCGTGGGTGGTGAGCTCCCGACGACCGCCTAAACGGCCTGCCATCCACAGTGGGATTGCAGGCTTTGTTAGTTTATGACGTACCGTGATGAGCGTGTGCGTGGAGGGCGAGCCCTTGAGGATTGCCTCGGCGGCCTGCTGCGTGGCGCCCTTGTGCTCTGCACCCAGCCCCTTGGCGATGTTGATGCGCGACGCGAGCCGCCGCGCCAGCTCCAGCTTGCCGTCCGTGCTGGCCGCCGCCGCGGCAGCCGCCGCACCGCCCGCCGCCACGCCCGGCTGCGGACACAATTCATTCGTTCACTGCCTCGGCGCTATATAGTCCGTGCGACATTCATACAGTTCATTCACTCGATAGTAGCGCCACGGTACCGCCCCGTCCGCCGCCACGCCCGGCTGCGGACACAATTCATTCGTTCATTGCCTCGGCGCTATATAGTCCGTGCGACATTCATACAGTTCATTCACTCGATAGTAGCGCCACGGTACCGCCCCGTCCGCCGCCACGCCCGGCTGCGGACACAATTCATTCGTTCACTGCCTCGGCGCTATATAGTCCGTGCGACATTCATACAGTTCATTCACTCGATAGAAGCGCCACGGTGCCGTCCAGCCCGCCTACGCTCGGCTGCGGATACAATTCATTCGTTCACTCGTTCAGCGCCATACACATAGAATCGCCATATGAAACTTAAGCAAACTTTATATCTTGTACCTGAGTACACAACTGTCACACTCAATTATAGATTTCGATAATTTGGATCAGACCAAAGGTCAAGGCACCTTGATCTCTTTGACAATCTTCTTGGCAGCCAGCATCGTTTCGATCTGCTGGTCCAGATCCCCCTCTACGTCTTCGTCATCGGAGTCCTGTAGGCCGAGTGCTGCCTTCTGGTACTTCTTCTTCTCAGACGCCGCCTGCGCCTCGGACTCGTCGAATTTGAAGCCTGTACAAAAGTAAACAGACCCAACAATTAAAATCCTCCTTAGGCATACATTAATATTGTAACATAACAACAGTAATAAGACCCAGACGAAAATGTACACTAAATGGCGCCAAGCATTACTAAAAATGAAATAAAAAGAACGTAGATAGATGTCAAGATTTTTGTGCCGCGAGGTCATCGGCCGCTTAGTTTAGTTCGTAAAGTCACACATAGCTGCCGAACAAAGCTAAAAAACAAAGCGGCCGAACAAACCAGCTAGAATACCGTTATATAGATGTATTAATTTACAATATTTGTTTTATGTGCAAAGGTGGTAAGTGAGTTGGATAGTTACCTAATGTTAAGGGATAACCGCCCCCCATTGACATCTTAAACGCCCGTAGGCTTGTGTATATGTTGCCACCTTTTAATACAGTGACCACTGGTTACCACACTCACCAGACGAAACGTAGAAGTATAAAACTTCTATTTTTTCGGTAAGTTTGTGGTACTTACCCGGACGGACCTGGCAATTCGTGCAAAAGCGAAGACCGTTGCGTGGCTCTACCACAGTTAAAATATCTACTTCCAAACTAAGCGAAGCGATAAGGCCGCCAAATTGTGCAATTCATAAATTAGTTTGTCTATTGGTAATTTTGTGTATCCCTTTATATGTGGTGGACAATATATTATTTATTTATTCATTCATTCATTCAAAGCTATTACTAGTCAAAACAAATATTACCTTTGCCGCTGAACCCGCCGCCCGTGTGCACCTTCTTGCCGTCCTTCTCTTGCGCCTCCTTGTACTGCTCCCACAAGCGGCGTAGCTCCGGCGGCGGCGTAGCGCCTGCCACCTCGAAGGCGCGTAGCACGTCGCCCGCGTAGCGGCCCTGCTCCGGCGTGAGGAACGTCCACGCGTAGCCCTTGTTGCCCGCGCGCCCTGTACGACCGCATCTGAGTGCAATCTCCGCTATTAGCAGGCAGCCGGTGGAACACCTCCCCAAGTATGAATCTCCCCTAGGTAGAGGTGCCTTGAATAAAATTTACTACGCCGTGCCGATTTAATACGACCTTGGGGAGATACAGAATTTGGGGAGTCTGTATCTCCCCTTGGTAGAGGTCCATTAAGGGAAATTGGCTAAGCGAGTACTGCGCAAGTACCATCGAGTGTAACATAAGTTTTCAACACACAGTTTTCTTTGAAAAACGATTGTATATTACTTAAGCACAATTGAAAAGGTTTTTGCTCGGCCCCAAAATGAGATTTATGAGATTTTTCCAGAATTTAATTAACGTCGAATTTTAAACGATTAGCTCGTCAAAAATTTACTTAAAAGAAACTCGAATTTTCTCTTTTAACTTATAACATTACCCTCGCTGCCTTTGTAAACACGCAACAATTTGATATTCTTTACCTCTGGCCACGCAAGGTCGTCGCACGAATGGACTGGTCCGTCCTGGTAAGTACCACGTCTAACAGAAAACTCGCGCTAAGTGAAAGTGTTATACTTCTGCTATTCTTCTGGTGAGCGAGTTAATCGGGACCCACTTTGTTAAAAGGTGGCAATGTACCTACAACCCTGCGGGTGTTGCAAATGGGCAGTGGATACAACTTAACATCGGGTGAACCGCCAGCTCGGTTGCCACCGTCTCACATAGAAAAAAATCATCAACTCCACTCAAGCTTGCTTACTAACACTTTAACCCCCACACACCATTTTGTAATTTTCAAATAATTATATAATATACAAGGTGTACAAGCGAGATGTGCGTTGGGTAGTTTTTTACCATATTTTCGTAAAGATGATTTGACGGATAAATACGGATGTCTTATCATATGTTTAATATGAAAAGTGGAAGAGCACTGTTGTAATCATCTTTAAATATGTATAAAGTGCTGGTATTCTCAAGACTCTATGATAGTAAAAATGTCTTAGAAATTATACCGTAGAAGAAGTCGCAATATAATAAAAGCAACAAAATTAAGTATAAATATAATTTCAAACTGTTTTAGATTAAACTAAATATTTTATATAATTCATGCTACGCACGTAACGTCCATAAAAAATTGTAATAGTACCTATTTACATAATTACGACAAGTAGACAATCGCAATTTTCCTAAACGAATTGTTTAATTACAAATTACTTTAGTGAATTTAACTTTTTTCATATCGGTCATTTTATAAATCGCTATGTGTTTGCGTACAAACGTTTAAATTTATGCTCGATTTAAAATAAAACAGGAAATGGTCGGACAAACCTCTTTCATATATTCCTTCTCTAATACTAAATAATACTCGTGGTAGTATTCGTGGGTATACCACGCGAATTTTTCTCACAGTACCATAATCAGTCAGCAAATTGTAATATGTAAAATTATAATAAAGCTTTTCCCGAACATTGTAAATATATGGGACTTTTATTAAATATATGAAGTGAAATATAATGTGAAATCCAACAACTGCATTACAAATTATCTAATTTCGGTGTCTTACGGTAACGACAAAGGCACCTTCCAACACTTCCTATTGCTTTCTGTCTGTCAGCCACCCAAATCCGAAACAATTATCTGTGCGATCGGAATCGAACCCACGACCCTCGACGGCGAAGACGACACCCCGGCCACTGCGCCACGGGGTCACCTGCTAACCTGTGCACGTAGTCCTCGTAGTGGTTGGGGCAGTCGTAGTTCACCACCAGCACCAGTTGCTTCACGTCCAGTCCGCGCGCCGCCACGCTGGTCGCCACCAGCAAACGCACCTTGCCCGACTTGAAGTCCACAATCGTAGAGTCCCTGTCGAACTGATCGATGCCTGCAACATGCCGGTATCGGTGAACTTTTTTTTTTTTGATCCCCCGTGCTTACACCAATGAAATTGTTAATATTATGTGCTGATTTATCACGTGCTCATCGGTGAGAGAACGTCGTGAGGAAGCCTGTAGGTTTTTGAAATAATAACAAAAAAATATTTCGAATAGGTATATGAAAATTTTCACTCACGCCGGTCCTCTGTCAGATCGTGGTACCTACCCTGACGGACCTGCCCATCCGAACTTATTTACATGCGAATTACAACAGCGAACTCATGCATGTTCCTACTACAGTTAGATACAGAACCAACTCTATCCATTGGCAATGTAAATAATAAGGGAGTTCTGACGGAATGTCCACTCACCTCCGTGAAGGCTCATGCAAGAGTATGATGCCTTCATGAGGTCCTTCAACAGGCTGTCAGCATTCTCCTGCTTGTCCACAAACACAATGATGCTGCCCATCTGGCTGTACAGGCCGAGCAGTTCCAGCAGTTTGAAGAACTTTGCGTCTTCCTCCAATATGGCGACGTGCTGTTCGACCTCCTTGCACACGATACTCCTTCCACCGACCTGTAATAAAGACATGGACAGATAATTAAACAGACCTTTTAAAAATCTCTTGAATTATATTTCCATCATCTGTTCCTTTAAAAATTATTTACATTTTGAATTTACAATTACTATATTAAAAAAAAGTTGAGATTTATTAACTTTTTTTTGTGTCTTTGGAGTCTATAGACATTAACAAAAAAAAATAATAAAAAAAATTGTAATATTGTAAACAATAAATTGATAAACGCACTTGTATTTCAATAGGTTTCTGCAGTATGCGCCTCGCAAGGGCCTCCATTTGCCTCGGAAAAGTTGCACTGAACATTACGGTCTGTCGGTCAGGCCGTATGTTGTCTATGATTTTCATAACCTAGAAGTGGAACGGATTTTAAAAACAATATATATGGTTTAATTAGAATACACCTTTCACAAATTTGTTAAAAGAACGGACAATATAATAAGAAGGATGAAAAGAAGTGTGAATGATCATGACGAATGAAAACCCAGATTTTTGCTAACCCGTCTGGTTAATAGACGTGAGTAATTACATTTTATCAACTCTATGCGGACTCCTTTACCAACACAAAGTGAATGGCGGTGTATTAACTGGTATACTAAATTTTGGACAGGCCCCGTGGGTATCACGTTTTGTTCCCGTCCATTCTCGTCGAGCTCATGCACCGACGACCACGAGCTCACCTGCGGCTCGAAACCCATGTCGAACATACGATCCGCCTCATCCAGCACCACATAAGTGACTCGCCGCAAGTTGGTCACTCGACCCGAGTTGGCGGCCAACATGTCGATCATCCGGCCCGGCGTGCAAACTATCATCTCGGCGCCTCTTTTCAGCTCGGCGATCTGCAAATATGAGTACCGGCACGGAATTATATTTTGTGTGGTTCGGTAGTAAGTTAAAATGACCAGTGACTTAGAAAATCTATTGTAGTGTTCCCTTCGAAAACATTACCCCTTACTGTACTAGTAATATTAGCCTGGGTTGTAAGGACGTTTTACAAACAATTATATAGGTCGCTCTAAGAGTCTCGTGAGGGAATCGAACCCAGGACCCCTGGCGCCGAAGACAAAATCAACGTTTGTTAATTTATTCTAGTGAATGTAAAGTATGGTGTAAATGTAAGCAAAAGATATAATGTCACGAAACCATACAATAGACACCAAGGTATACTGTATTGAGCTGGTGATACTGTAACACATTTTAACAATAAGCGTCATATGCAACCTGTTTAAAACTAAGACCAATAATATTAATATACACACCTGCTCTGAAATCCCAGTACCACCGTAAACACAAACAACCCTCAATCCCAAGGACTTTGCGAATTTTTTGATGTCCTTTCCAATTTGCATGCAAAGCTCTCTGGTGGGCGTCATTATAAGGGATATTGGGCCATCAGTGTCCTCCAGTGGTGGCTGATCCAAAACATGTCGGAACATGGGTAAGATGAAAGCTAAGGTTTTGCCTGAGCCAGTCTTGGCAATGCCAATCAAGTCTCTGAAAGTTTTGGTGCACATACATCGCATTGAATTATATTAGTATATTTACAGCAATAGTGGCCATGAGACGACAGGTGATGCTAAACTAAAGGTATAGCATTTATTACCAGCAATATCTTTGTCTTATTGATTATGTTTTTGGTTATATTCAAAAGGATTTGGTAAAGCTTCATCGGACACAGATACTAAACGAAAATTTACCTTCCTGACATGATAGCTGGAATTGCTTGTGCTTGTATAGGTGTAGGCTTCTCAAAGTTCAACTTCTTTAAAATATCCATCTCCTTCTTACTAATCCCACAGTGGGCCCATGTTTTTATCGGCTTTGGACAGCCCTTGCCTTTGACACGGATCCCTTCTAATTCTACCCTGTAAGCTTCAACTTCTTCTGGAGTCATTCTGGACAACTCACTGACCTATAATCGTAAGGATAAAAGGCATCAATCCAGAGGAAAAAATTAAATGGTTATTTGTTGTACAAAACATTTCAATCCCTATGAACAAAATTGCTTAAAAAGATCCTTTTTTCAGTGTTGCTTTGAAACAATTACTTCATTAACCTTTTTGGTGGTTTTCTTATTTACAACTTTCTTTTTTCTTTTCTCACCTCAGTGTAAAAAGCTTTCCGGTAGGGCATATAATGTAAACTTGCATGGTCAACTTTGGCAAGCTCTTTTCTTTGTTTTGATGCAAGATTTGCTGCTGCATCTTTAATATCCTCTGTTTCTTCCTCTGAAGAATATTCTAAGCCATCCTGGTTCTGTTCAATTAATTCACCTAAAGGTAAATAATAAATTAAAATAGCATTTATTGCATTAAACAGCTTTAACAAAAGAATTAGGGAGGAATTGTGAGTATACAGCATGTTGTTACAACCGCGACAATAAATGAACACACATATAGAGGATAAATTTTTAAAATTGTATTAAGCTTTTACATTCTTATAACACAAATATCAATATTTACCCAGTTATTAAATTTTACAAAGCAAACATTTTTAGAACATGTATTATGTAAGGGACATATAAAACTGTAACGTAAAGTTCATTTGTAAAGGTCACAAAGCATATGAATGAATTTAAAAGACATAAAACATACTGTTAGAAGAGATATTTGTTATGCGACGTTGTGGCAACGAATGAAAATGTCCGTAGATGTATGACTCAGTCAGTTGTAGTTATATAGAATGTTACAAATTTTGTTTCTTTTTTATTTAATTAGTTTGTTTGAAAAATATATTTTTTTAATTATGGATTTTTTAACATTTTATATTTTTTTATGATTATTAGCAAGTAGTGTTAGACATGTGTTCATTTATTCTCGCGGTTGAAATGACGTATATATAGTATAACAATTATCATGAATCCAAAAAATATACATGTTTTGTAATCAAACATTTTTTTAGAGCTGTATTTTTCTTGCAAATATATTTCTTTCACTTTACCTTTATTCTTTTGTTCTGCAACTTTCTTTTTAGCTGTTCCAGTTAGTATCACCACACCTGTACCACCACCAGCAGATGGTACACTTATAAGACCTCTGGACTGGTCTATCTGATTTACCTTTCGTACTTCCTGAAATATGCAAATAGAAACGATTGATGAACCAATTAACATGTAAGAACATTCTGTTTATATTTATAACAAATTGATAAAATAATAAAATACAAGTGACATTTGTCATTACAAATCTAAGAAACATACTTGTTGCACTTCCTGCATATAGGCATCTAATGGATCTATTTCATCTTCCTCTTCCTTTTTCGCTTCGGCATTTGCTTTCTCTTTGGCTTCACCATCTTCACCTGTATTCGTAAAACACAAAATAAAAAATACATATAACAATTCAATTAGCTATAGATATGATTTACTTTTCATAGATATCACAGAGAATTTATTTTCATAGTATTGACACAGCAACAACTCGGTGACACAGTTGCTAATAGGATGGTTGGATAAATCGGTTGTAAATAACATAGCTAAAAACCACTTACAACAAGATTAACATTTGCCGACCCCACCTAGATGGGATAAGAGCAGGAGGATGATGACGATAATGAGTTCTTACACACAGCATCAATTAAGCATATACTCAATGGTGTAGACAAAGAATAATTCTATTTACTGATAGCACCAAGAACAAAATCCATCAACTTTTTTATCCAATGCTGTGAAATATTTCTTAAATGCTCAATGAAACTTGAGTAATATCAGGATTAAATACTATTCATGTTTAAGGTCTAGTATATATATGTGTGTATATATATATATATATATATATATATATATATATATATGTAGTGTATATGTATATAGTACATATATGTATATGTATGTATAAATGTATGTATCTGCTTTAATAAAATAATATGTATATTTCTATTGCACCACCTATGTAGTATATGTTTCCTTTAAGCCATTGGTTGCCTGGAAGAGATCGCTATGAAGCGATAAGGCCGCCAAATTGTACATTGCATAAATTTGTTGTTATATTACTTTTATGTATATTCTATTTGTGGTGGACAATAAAAGTGTATAATATAATGAATGAGCATTCAAACTTGAATGTACCCCAGTAGTCACACTGATATTGTTTATCCATGTCACTTTAAATAATATATCCTTTTCCTAAATTCCGAAAATTAAGTGCCCAAATATAAAGTCCAACTTAAGATATTCTTTATAGAGAGGTTTCTTTATGATAGTGACACAAGTGCATTAGTATATTTTTGCTTGCCTTCTTCCCCGGAATCATCTTCTAATGACCATTTTTTGGATGTTGGTGTTTGTATACTGGTTACAATGCTGCCCTTTTGGACTTCCTTCTTTGCTGACTCCAGTTCTTTCCGTTTACGTTCAGCGCGCCAACGTTCAATTCGGTCACGTCTTTTCTGCATCTCAGCTTCCAGACGGCTCTGTTCCTCTTCCTTTGAATGCATCAATTATAAATAGTTAAAAACATGATATGAGACCACAATGGCAATAAATATTGATTTTAACAATATCTACAATATCTTCTAACTGATGTTTTGTTTAAATACTAAGCAATCACAGTAACAGGATGGATTTTATATATGTCAAAGTAATCATTAATTAAGAATATTAATTTATATAAATTAGTATTTTCAATTAATGTGCACATGATTAATTTATTTACCTTATCAACTGAACCTAGATTGTAATCACTTGAGTCTTTTTTATCCTGTTTTTCTTTAGACTTAGATCTTTCTTTCCTATCTTTATCAGGAGATTTTTTTCGTGATGACTTGCTGCTGGATCCATTTCTCTTGTCATCTCTCTTATCACTAATGTAAAAAATTAATAATACTCATTATAATTAAACGCAGGATACCATTATTCTACAGTTCATACAATTCCACAATACACATAATTAGTTTTTTAATAAGTTTATAAAGTAAAATATACCACTAAAAATTATTACGGTTCTGGCATTAATTTACCTTTTTCTATCACGGTCTCTATCCCTGCTTCGATCTCTTTTAGAGTCCCTGTCTCTGCTGCGGCTACGTTTTCTTTTGGAGGACTTGGAACTCCGATCCCTACTGCGAGATCTTGATCGTCTGCGTTTACGATCGGGCGTGGCTGAACGGCTATGAGACCGTCTACGATCACGGTCTCTATCACGGTCTCGTCTGTAATATAAATACAACAAATGTGAATGTGTTAAATTTTTCTTCAAACTTTGACGTAAATAAACGAGACATACCCGCTCCTAACCATTCTCGCAACTACTATTTGTTAAAACTGTTATTACTTCTTGTGAACCCAGTTACTGAAAACTACATAAAAATCTTTTCTTTAATTGAAAAACGTTAAGGTTAAGACAAACAGCGATAGTAAGATGTCTCACTTTAGCTAAGTGTAAGTATATTGTATAACCTATAGACAAAATATGCACAAGCGTTAGGCTTAGTTTACGTATCGGAGTTTTGACATATATGATTCGTTTTACGCAGTCTACTAAGAGAAACATAAAAAAAAAAATAAGTTAAGTAGTATAGTTAACAGGATTTAACGAAAACAAATATAAAGAGTAAAGACGAATACTCAATTGTAAAATCTTTTCACAGAACATAACAGAATCTCTCAATATAATTATATATTCTGGGCAACAACCGAGCTGGTGCGGCTTATGAAGCGGCTGAAAAAGCTAAAGCTTGCAAATTCAGGACTCCGAATATGATTTTGTCCCATTCGGTGTCGAGACCCTTGGTCCGTTTGATCCTAGCGCTATAAGGCTTTTTAAGCAAATAGCAAAAAGGTTAGTCGACATCACAGAAGACCGAAGAGCTTGCAGCTACCTCGGATAAAGAATTAGACTAGCTATTCAAAGGGAGAACGCTGCCAGTATCTTCGAAACCTTGTATATATCAACTCCTTTTAATTATATATTTTAGTTATTATATTATATATTTTATACATATTTTGTATTAGTTTATCATTTGAATGTTATTTAAGTTTGTTATTAGGAAATTTTCTGGGCATAGATACAACACATTAACACATTTCTGACAGACTGAGCCAGTGACATTCATTTCATGCGTTAGCATCTTTACCAAATCTGTGGTGGTGACATTTTGACATTGCTGACACTTGCCAAGAGTGAATGAATGTTGAAATCAAAAGCCGGCGTTTTATGATTTTTATAAAATAACTTGCTTGAGAGAACTTTAAATTTAATACAAGCATAACCTATTTTGAAGTGTCTATTTATTATTCTGGTAGCTTTTTATTTCCAAAATAATACAATGGCTGATGATGGGGAAAATGTAAATAACCAATTAATAAATTTACTTTACAAACATTACTTTTATTATGTTTAAATCGAAGTGTGTCGACTTATAATATACTTGTTTTGTTTTTTTAGGTTGCAGTAATGACTGTTAAAGAACCCTTAGATCTTATAAGACTAAGTCTAGATGAAAGAATTTATGTCAAAATGCGAAATGAACGTGAATTACGAGGAAAACTACATGTAAGTCATGTATTTAAGTGATTTATTCTTGAACTAACCCTATAAATATAGATATAATTATGTTCCTCACTTGTTACTTATTAATAGTACTTATATATATTTATATACTAGCAACCCACCCTGCCTCGCACAGGTGCAAAGTATTATACATATAAATCATCCTCTTGGATCACTATCTAGTAAAAAGAGTAGTTTTAAAGATCTAAGCATACATAGAGACAGACAGATAGCAGGATGACTTTGTTTTATACCATGTAGTGATTATGTATACTTAACAATGAAGTTATTAGTATAGGTGGCAAATGCCTATAGAAAACATCATACAGTGGTAGGGCCACATAAGAGCTGCGGCTGTTGCAAAAATGAGCAGGTCCATCATGCCATCCATGGGCCATCCAAGTAAGTACCTCAACCTCACAGAAGACTCAACTTAAAGTGTAAGTGTTATATCTGCTTTTCATCTGGTGAGTGAGGTAGCCAGGACCCACTTTATTAAAAAGTGGCAATGCATCTGCAACTCTACAGGTATTTGCAAATGTCCATGGGCAGCGATTATCACTTAACATCAGGTGAACCACAAGCTCACTTGCCACCTTCTCCCATAAAAAAAATCATACTTATAAATACCTTTTATATCACATTATTTTGAAATTTATAATAAAAAATTTTGTTTGATTTATTTGGTTGGTGAATAACCTTTATTTTATGGATGTGGTGCTTACTGAGAAAAACAGCTCACCAGATGCCTAGCAATCACTGCTGTCCACTCGAGTTTCTGAAGTATTATTTTTATCAATTCATTACATAAGTTTTGTCAGGGATATTTATTTTAATTTAATATGTAATACTATAGGAATTATAAAATACAATAACAAATTATTAAATCATCATTGCATGATATAGTATAATATTAATATGACACAAAAATGTTTTGTTGCAGGCTTATGATCAACATTTAAATATGGTATTGGGAGATGCAGAGGAAACAATAACAACAGTTGAAATTGATGAAGAAACATATGAAGAGGTTTATAGAACAACTAAAAGAAATATCCCTATGTTATTTGTGCGAGGAGATGGTGTAATACTGGTGTCACCACCTGTTAGAGTAGGTGTGTAATATAGGATATAATAAAAAGTTGCATTAATGCTGAGGCTGTTTTATTTTTTAGCCAATAATTTAATAACAGATTCATTATTAAATGTTCGATTTCGAGGCATCAATAATTCTTCTTCATCCATTGGCTCAATTATTGCACCAGCTTTGGTCTTTACACTTGGTTGAATGAGTTTCTTATGTGCCTTCTCAGGCATAAAGGTATTGCCAAGTGGAACCCTTATAGAAGCTTCATAATCTTTGATACTGTTAAAAGGGAATGGTACATCTGAAACTTTATGTGAAGCAAGTTTAGGATCTTTATATTCTTTTATTATAATATTACCCTTATTTTCATCACGCCTTGGTGCAGCTGTAGGAGCTTTCATTATAAACCTATTTCTTTTTCGTTTAGAAACTTTTACACCTTTGCCTCCCCACTGACCCCAACCAGGTAGAGACAAATCTATATCTTGTGGTTTGTTTTTGTTGATTTCATCCTCTTTTTCTTGTCTAAAACTTGCAACAACATCATCTTCTTCAAATACTTCTTCTATATCTATCTTTGGGACTACTTGTTCATCATCATCTAGGTTATCATATTCATTTACTTCTTTTGGTAAAGGAGTATTTAAATATTTTGGTTTGATTTCAATAAATCTGCTGGGATCAATATTAGTGTTTTCTTGTCTAGGTGATTCTTCAGTCGAATACATTGCCGCAATTACTGTTGACAATGTTTTAGGGTCTACTGTAACATTTGATTTACTGCTTGTTTCTAGTAATGGTTCATCAATTATCGGTTTTTGATTTAGCTTTTTCAACTTTAAGTATTCCAAACCATGTTTTTCTTCATATGATGCATTTAATTTTACTTTACCAGCAGACTTTGATGCATTATCAATTTTATCAATATTTTTTTTCAGTTTTTTAATTTTTTTTTGAACTTTTCCAACAACTTTTTTTTCCAAACAGTCAAACATGTTAGAAATGTCTTCTGAAGGCTTTTTTTTCTCCTCCCCTTGATTTCCATTTACAGGATCAACAATCCAATTTGATGTAGCAACTAATTTACTTTCTTTTTGTTGCTGTTGCTTCTTATCATTTGAAATTTTAATTTTTTTAGTCACTGGCTCTTTAATCTTAAGATTTTTTGTAATTTTAGTATTTGTTTCTCTGCCTGCATTATTTCTTTGACTTAATTTATTAACACTTTTTTTCAGAACATCAATTACATTTTCTGTAATATTAGAGTTGTCTTCCTCTACATTATCATGGTCAGAACCCGAGTCATTAACTTCATTAGTTCTCAACATTTTTGTTTTAAGATACTTTTTGTAGCCAAAATCAAACTCTTCATCTATATTTGATTTATCTGGTCTTTTCATCATCCAAGGGTTTTTGGGGTCTTGTGATAAAGCCAAATCAGAAATGGTTTCATTATTATCAACATCATCATCAGAACTCTCTGCATCCATAGTTTTATGAGTAAGGGATTTACTGACTGCCAACTGCTCCGATAACTGTTGTCTTACCTGAAATTTTTTTAAGTCTTACAAACAATAACAATATAAAGTACAAATCTATGAAACTAAAATAAATTTCAGTATAGAATAAATTGTAGATTTTATATTTTTTTGCATTTATATATGTCAAAAACAAACAATTATTGACTCCTCACTTGTCATATGGCAATCTAAAATACATATAAAATAATTTTGAGAATATGGGAAATGCCCGTAAGATTTAAAGAATAAAATTGAATGAACCAATTTCTTTTTTCATGTATTTTTGGTAGTTACAAATTAAAAAATATACTTTTAAAATATAAACACATAAACACACCTCTGTATCATACTTTGCTCTAATTAGTTTACTTTTAGCCCATTTTCCAGTATTTTTATGACGAAGTGTGTGCCTCTCTAAAGCTCTAGCTTTCTCAAGGGTTTCCAATTTCTTTAGTGCTTCTTCTGGATTCTTACTTTGTAGTTCTTCAAACTCCTTTAATTGTTGTTTTAGTTTGTCTTTCTTTAAAATTCTGTAGATATGAAAGAAAATATCTCAATTTCATTCAAAGTAATAGTTTTCTTATGTATATTTCGAAGTATAGACTGAAATATAACTTGAACAAATGTTTTCTTTTTAATGAGTACACTTCAGATAGTTTGACATTGAATATAGCTCCCATAAGAAAGTACACTCTTTAATCCTTCGAATAATAATCTTGCAATAAAGTTATAATCAGCAAACTTTTCATTTTAACTAACATGTATATTGCATACACATAATTACTTAAAATAAAAATACTTACCGGTGGTACTTTTTACTTTTAATTTTACTTTGCCGTTTAGCTTTTGCTGCTTTATAGGATTCTTGAGCTCTTAATTTAGCTATCTGCTGCCTATGTTCTAACATTTCTTCATATGACATTGGATAAGAAAGTTCTTCTTCTTCTTCTTCTGGTTGTCCAACAACTGGTGGATCTATTTCATCCAACTGTTTTTCAAGAGGTGACTTTAACTTTAACTTAGATAAAAACTCGTGAGTAGGCTGGAGCTTGGTACAAACATTCTTTATAGGGAATTTAACAATATCCACTGTACGATTACGCGCAACAACAGGATCCCATCTCCCAACCTTTTGTTTTGTTTGGTCATACCCAGTAGCTCTCTTAATTCGTTCAGCTTGCGGTTTTTCTAGTGGCTTCGGGAGAATTTTAGATGTCTTCTGGCTTTCTTGCAATTTTCTACCTATCTTGACATGCTGAGCTGTATCCTCCAAAGCTTTAACTACATTATTAAGGTTTAGCCTATTGGTTCTTTTAATTAAATTAAATTCAGAATTTATATTTGTTGGTTCATTGCGAGTTGGTTCAGTTATATGTTGAGTCTTGTCTAGTTTAGAAATCGCATTTACTAAACGATCGTGCTCAGATGAAACAAAGTCAACATCTTCGTCATCTATCATTGTTTCGTCAAAGTAAATCGAAATAATAAAATGTTTAAAAGTATTTCTTATATGATCAGTACTTTTAATCTAAATCTGCTTAATATTTTAGTTGAAATGTAGCGAAATCTAACCTCTATTACACATTTAAGAACAGAGATGTTAAACCTAACCTCTATTACACATTTAAGAACAGAGATGTTGGATCGAAAAAAACCCAGCTGTCAAGTGTCAAGTCACTCTCAAATCAATGCCATTTTTCGTTTAAAAATCACAACAATCAATTTAGTTTTGCTTAATGTGATGACTCCGTGGCGCAATTGTCAAGGTATTGGCTTCGGCGTTGGGGGTCATGTGTTCAATTCCCACACGGGACAACTATTCGTGCGACCCACAGATAGTTGTTCGAATCTAGATGTTTGTCCATGTGGAATTTATATTTGTAAAACGTCCTTACAACACTGGACAATGTTATCCTAAAGTGAGGGCAGTGTTTTTTTAACTATGAAAGGAATTATATTAGCCAGTCGCCTTTGACAGCTTCGTCAGATGAGTTCTGCAGGTAAAAATGCCGTGGACTCAGGAGAGCACCGTAAATAGCGAACCTTGATCTAGACTGTTAATAGTGGAACTTATCCAGAGAAATTAATAAGGTCTAAATTGCCGTTTAATTACGCACTATGACAACGACTAATAATGAACAATTAGGTTCTCATAATCATATATTTATTATTATGAGAATCTCATAAATCTCATATTTATTTATGAAACACCGTATGAGCGTCGTTTAGCGGTACCTTACAACAAACTCATTCGCATTTCGAACGAACATTCTGTCCCAAATAACGGATGAATATTGGGTGTCAACGGATGTTATTCGCGGTCGTGACCTAAGGTCGAACAGAATTTTAATCATTTTCTTATATCTTCGACCTCTTCTGAAACTAGTACAATCAGATTTTGGCCGGCTTGGGGACCACATGCCGACAGCAGTGCAGATAACTTTTCTAATAAACACGAATTCCACTTAGTGTGCATTTGATGTAAATTCTATCTTCATTCATCAAAAAAGAGCTGTGCAAGCAATCTATAACATCGGGCCCCAGAATAAACTCAGAGATCTTTTTAAAGAGATTAATTTACTCACTGTTGCGTCTCAATATATTTATTGTAATATTTTGTATGTAAGACATAATCTTAATTATTACCTTAAGAATAGAGGCAGACAAATTATATACTGTAAATAAGGACAAACTAACTACGCTATTGTTTCGTCTACAAAAACCAACTAGGTCTTTCACGGGGAAAAGTGTACGCATGTATAATCTGCCACTTGATCAATTTAAATGCAAAATTAAAAGTAAACTTATGGCTAAGATACCATTGTCGAATATTTAGACGACGCCAATGTGTGGAGTTAATACTGTTGATACTCACGAAGGCTAAATTAAGACTCGTACATGTACTATTGTATTATAAACTTATTTTTAAAAAAAGTGCATCTTTTGGGTTTCTTGCCGGTTTCTTCTCAACAGAAACTGCTTTCCAAACCGGTGGTAACTTAATAGAGGGGATAGATTATGCTCTGGGTATTGTTATGATCGTGAAGCGTTTAGTGCGTTATAAAAAACAAGGTGGTATAAGTCAAAAACAATATATTTATTGAAATACTAATAACAAAAAAAAAACAAACACCGTATTGAAAGATAAAGATTAGAATTATCTTTAAACTTAATTTTGTTTAATTACATGTTTTTATACTGTAAACAAGAGAAATTCTAACATCATCCATCAATACAAAGGTACAATTTGAAACAAATATTTACAAAGTTTGAAACTATTTCAGTGAGAATTTGAAAGATTTTAATCAGTTTAACCCTATTTTGTAACAATAAAAATTACAAAATCATGCAGAAACTGCTTACATAATAGATGAACGATTAAGTCCGTTCTTTTTTAAAATTTATAGTAAAAGCAGTTTAGAGAAATTAACATTTTTGTAAAAAGTGTTTAGCACGAAAAGAGATGAATATCGATTATCACATTTTTATGTATCTTGAATTCGTCTCTGTTTGGGCCCTCGCTGTAAATTTCTCTTACAACAAAATTAATCTCTGGCATTCGATGAAGTGTTTGACGAAGCAGATGAGGGCGGCACGTTTTCTATATTTTGATTCATTTGGCGCATGCGTTTGAAATGTTGACGATTTCTATACAATTTAGCCTCGTCAGTACACTTAGTGGTGATGCAGCTCCTGAAAGCAATATGGAAGAACTGTTATGTTATTCAGTACACATGAAAGAAATGCAATTACATGAAAAGATTTGTACAAAGGCCCTGTTTATTTTTTTAAGAAATTTCTTCCAGCAGACCTGTGACTGAAAATTGGTCACAAATGGTAGTTAATCGTGTGCATATACAGCGTGTCGTTACCATCGCGACAATAAATGAACACACGTCTAACGTTACGTGCAAATAATCATAAAAAAATATGAACGTTAAACAAAATCCATAATTAAAAAAAATATTTTTCAAACAAACTAATTAAGTAAAAAAGAAACAAAATTTGTAACATCCTATACAACTCGTGCCACAGCGTCGTATTACAAGCCTCTCCTTGTAACAGTATGTTTTGTCTCTTTTAAATTCATTCAACCCATTCATATGCTTTGTGACCTTTACAAATGAACTTTACGTTACGCTTTTATAGGTGAGGGTGTTCTAAAATTCTTTGTTTTGGAAAATTTAATAACTCTGTAAATATTGATGTTTAAAGAATTTAAATGTTTAATACAACTTTAAAAAGTTATCCCTCATATGTGTGTTCATTTATTGTCGCGATGGTAACGACACGCTGTATATTTCTGGGTATTTGTTTCCCAAGAAGGGTTGACATCAGGCAAGCGGCCGTTGTAAAAAACGTAACCAAAATCGGTAGGTTGCACGGAAACATAAATTCACGTGTTTTCGACTCCACCTAAGTGGTATAAGTTCAGGAAGATGATCATCTGATTTTAAGTGATAACCCGTGGGGTTGAACATGCGTTGCCACCTTTTAATAAATCCCTAGTTACCTCACTCACCAGACGAAACGCAAAAGTGTAACATTATACAACGGTCTTCGGTGAGGTCGTGGTACTTCCCTGGACGGACCTGCCCATTCGTACAACAGCGAAACTGCAGCGTGGCCGTACCACAGTTAAACAAGAATAACATTTTTGTTAAATGATAAATGGATGTATATTTAAATAAATACTTCTACTCCTATTTAGGTATTAGTCATAATTAAGTCAATTGGTCATTTCATGAAACAATAACATTTTTAGAAATACGTGCAGGTACGTATTGTGATTATTGTATTAATAGGAAAAAAGTTGTTTTCAACTTCTTATATTTTAGATTTATGTAGAAGGGTCATATTTTCATCAAACATACACTTTGTCTCTATGTATAGTGTTATCGTCGTAATTGAACCAAAAAAATTTGGAGTAATTTACTTTTATCAATAAACTATTTCATTTTACTTTTACGTTCTTCAAATTAAATCAAATAACAGAATCTCCCTTAAAATGTACCAGTTTACATAATGGGTATATAGGAAAATCAAAGGGACGTCATTTTACGAGTGATACTTCCCTGGACGGACCTGCCCATTCGTACAACAGCGAAACTGCAGCGTGGCCGTACCACAGTTAAACAAGAATAACATTTTTGTTAAATGATAAATGGATGTATATTTAAATAAATACTTCTACTCCTATTTAGGTATTAGTCATAATTAAGTCAATTGGTCATTTCATGAAACAATAACATTTTTAGAAATACGTGCAGGACGTAGCTTGAAGAATGTTTAAAAGAATGAAGATTTACATATATTTTAATAAAATAATGCAAGAACAGATACATGGTATGCTTAGTTAAGTGTTATAAAGCGATAGAATAAACATGAAACGTAATTATTACGATTAATATTTAATTATCATTATGTTTTGTGTTTACGTTTTCAGGGAAGTTTTATTTTTATCATGTGGAAATATTTGAATGAATTATAGAATTGAAATTAAAGATTGAATTAGATTGCATAAACGCTTTACTTAATTTATGGAATCTCCTACGAAGCATTTAAGTATGTGATTGCTTCTAAATTATTGTCGGTATTAGTGGTTCTGTTACCTTACGAGTCGTTTATGGACGCCGCATCTTTCAGAGACTGTGTCTATTATGTCATCCACTAATTTCGGATCCAGGCGCTTTTTCGGAGGTTTGTTCGCAAAAGCAGGTGATTGTTTGCCAGAGAGGCAATGAGTCGCTAAAACCCTGCCAATGAAAACGGTCTTTATTATTATAACTTCTTTATAAAATAACAGTACAATTTATTTTACCGTTGTTATACCTGCGTGGAAAAACAGCCTGTAATAGTTGTCTAGTTGCAGTTGTGTACGATGTCCAGTCTAAGTCTGCAAGTAATCTCGTCGGCACCAGCACATTTCCACTACCGATGGGTACCTATTTTTGTACTATATTGTGATTATTGTATTAATAGGGAAAAAGTTGTTTTCAACTTCTTATATTTTCGATTTATGTAGAAGGGTCATATTTTCATCAAACATACACTTTGTCTCTATGTATAGTGTTATCGTCGTAATTGAACCAAAAAAATTTGGAGTAATTTACTAATTTAATAAACTATTTCATTTTACTTTTACGTTCTTCAAATTAAATCAAATAACAGAATCTCCCTTAAAATGTACCAGTTTACATAATGGGTATATAGGAAAATCAAAGGGACGTCATTTTACGAGTGATACGTTACAAATTACTCTTTTAAAAATAAATTTTCTTACCATATCTACATTGTTTTCCACTGGCTCGCCACTAATAGTAGTGTGCGCTGACGCCCGCCTGACATGTAGAACCTTCGGGTGACTCTTTAAAACCAATTTGTCCTCTATTCCTGAATTAGTTGTGTTCACCTTTGGCTCAGTTGGCGTTTCATCCTTCAAAATGGGCGATTCGTTTACGGTATTCTCCGGAACGTATCGTTCCAGCTCGGAGACCTCTGATAATATGGACATGGCGTCATCCACGTGCACCTCGGATATCAACGAGAGGAATTGCCTATAGAGTCGGTGGAGCACAGTCTCCATTTCCTCGATTTTCGGCAACGGTGGTTGCAACATTGCGGCGTCTGTTTGCGTGCTCTGATCGAAGGTTAGCTTACAGCTGTCCTCGACGTGTCGCCCTGGCAACGGTGTGCTGCTGCACATCGATCGTCTGCCATAAAACTTGCTCTGTGTTCCTGACCGATTGTTATACACCGCCATTGAATTTCCCGCGCTTTTGTACTGATTATTCGGTTTTGCCGATTTATTGAAACTGAGTTCGTTGGTCTGGAAACATATTTATTGAGAATCAATAAAGTTCGTTGATATCGATTCAAAAATCTATTGAAATGTATTGATTTATTACAAGTTCATTTTGGAGACCGTCAAAACTTCAAAATAATTATACATAAAAATTAACTTCCGTATGTGTGTATCTACAAAACAAAGTATAAATATTTCAGCTACAAAATATAAGTATTTCAGAATATCCCTAAAATAGGTACTAGTAATTATGAGTCTAAAACTAAGCAAAGCTATCGGCAAAATTATTGGATAAACGTAAATAAACAAAATTTTATTTTGTAAATAAATACATATTGTAGATAAATAGGCATGCACGCACTAAAATACACTGTTCATCACGCAACATTTATCCAGACGCTTGCGCGCTCTTATGAATCGTCAAATTTTACATCAAAGATTATGTATATAGGTTTGTAAGGTACCACTGGGCGACCACTAGTTTAGTTTTAATACCTAACTTAAAGATCTTTTAAGATAAAAATAGCGATAAGTAAATCGGAAAGTATCTTCATCACACATTAAGTATTGGCCGCAAGTACAGTTATTATCAGGTTTTTTTACGCTTTAACCATATTTTATCATTATTTCTAAACCTCACCTCTTGATCGCTTTCCGAGGTAGCATCACTACCGTTACCAGCATGCTGGGGAGTACCGGAGACACTTGGAGTTGGTGCTGATTGTTGAATGGTATTTTGCGCACCTAAATACTATGTAAAAAAAGTATTATTAAAAATTACCGGGTAAATATTCACAGTTATAAACATAAACAACGACATTGAGGGATAGCATATTTGCGAATTTCCACATCTCAATTATGAAAAGGACACCACAATCAATATAAACTACGGTTGGCAGTTTTGTGTAGTGTTCTTAAATTAAAGTTGTACTCAAACTCAGTTTATTTTTCGCGCATGGCATTAAATAAAATACTATCAAGTGGACTCGTATTTAAATAACTGGCAAATGAACGAGTAAATGCTTAAATAGCTTAGCAGCTTCTAAATAATTCAGGGCACGACCTTCAATTTAAGTTACAAACTGTTTGAAGTAGGCATGACTTACACCTTTTCTTTAGAATTTTACTTGAGAATTAAAAAAATAAAAGTCAACAGCTGTCAGGATGTGAACTGGACAGTTTGATACACTCACGCCCGGTTTCTCAAATACTGAAAATCGTAGAAGTCAACTAATCAGCCATCAAATGGATTTTCAAATGTTATTTGAGTTGCCAGAAGGGTTGTTGAACTTTCCGAACGACCTTAATGATCAGAATGACAAAGAGTTTAATAATCCTTTTGACAACTCAAATATAATATTTGGCGTTATTTGAGTGCCTCACTTTCGGTGCAGTAGTGTCTATTTCCTTCGTATTTTTATATAATATCATTGTTTGGTACACTCACCAACGGTCCCGACTTCATCTCCTTGATTGTGTTCATACATAACGAGACAACGTTCTTCACCTGCTGATCTTGCCGCTCTAGCAGTACCTTGAGCTCCTTGACATAGCTCTTGTTATCTTAAAAATAAAAAGTGTTAGAATTATTCGCAATTAGCTCTTCATTCCCGTATAGTTTTAATGACTATTTACTATTCAATGGGAAAAATGAGGACAACAACGGTGATACGGGTTTTTTTTAAATATTATAGTCAAATGTGCGTCATTCAAATTAGCGTTAATGCGTTGTGTCGTAAAATACCTTACGTTTTTTTTCGTTCTCAAATTATGTGTACGTATTATACTAATGTGTGGTACGATACAATCTCATCGCCTACATTTTACATATAGGCGATGAGATTCTATTATTCATTAAAAAAATAACGATTATATTAATATTAATTAAATGCTTTATGCCTAAACCCCTTAGAAGAATTATGTTAGGTACTTTAATTAGAACAATCAATAGCTCACTAACGAGGTTTGAAAATTGAAGTGTGAGCACGTGGTAGTACATTCATACGGTTCGAAGTTTTTACGCACTCATAGTTCTCACCAAAAAAGTTAAATACAATAAGCTACTTGTACTATACAAATGTTAATTTATCCTGTTATAATCTTTAAAAAATGCTCAGAGACTACGACGGGTAACAGATTTTAATTTTTTATTAACATATTAAACTTTTCATTCAGACATTCGTAAATAACATCAACAGGCAATAACATGTACACAAAGTTATAACTTAAAGATATTGCATAGATGCTACGTTGATAATACGGATAAGTACGAACCAGATATCCTCATGATCTGCGCTCTGCGGGCACCGTTTCCATGCTTGTTCCTGATGAACACCAGTTTTCCGGTGTGCAGGTCACTTTCGCTGGTTACCAGGGAGTCGGCGCTCACCACGCCGTAATGCGAGAAGACGCTCCTCTCGTCCACCCACTCCACGAGCAGCCACAGCCGTTGGGACATCGCGATATCGTGCCCAAACTATCTCGGACTGAATTTGAACAGCAACTGAACGGAAAGACGCGATGCCATCCCTCGCAGGTAGAAATGTGCTGGGCCCAACGCCCCGGTATCGGCTTTCGACCCCAAGATTTAAAAAAAAATCAACAATACAATTCGCCGTCTTACGAACAATGCGTAACGGCGTCTATGATCAGCTGGAGTAATATTAACTACTATGACTAGTTATAGATTAAGCTAAAGTGTTTAAGCGTTATGAGTTACCTAATACTGCATATTGTCAAAAATATTATATAGGAAATTTATGTTAGATTCCATATCAGCCAGAGAAGATACCTTTTTTATAATTATACAATAAGAAGCATGTATAAAAAAGTGTAAGAACCGAAAATTTTTAGTTTAAGGCTTTTATATACATTCTACTAGCGACCCGCTTCGGCTTTGCATGGGTGCAATGTATTACACATATAAACCTTTCTCTAGAATCACTGTCTAGTACAAAAACCGCATCTAGATCTGTTGCGTAGTTTTAAAGACCTACCCATACATAGGGACAGACAGACAGTGGGACGACTTTGTTTCATACTATGTAGAGATATGTGTCTTTGATTATACGATTGTCATATATACAGCGTGTCGTTACAACCGCGACAAGAAATGAACACACGTCTAACGCTGCTTGCCAATAATCATAAAAAATATAAAAGGTTAAAAAAATTCATGATTAAAAAAACATATTTTTCAAAAACTAATTAAATAAAAAAGAAACAAAATTTGTAACATCCTGTACAACTACAACTGACTGACTCATACATGCAGAGACTTTTTCATTCATTGCCAAAACGTCGCATTACAAGTCTCTCCTTCTAACAGTATGTTTTATCTCTTTTAAATTCATTCAACCCATTCATACATATGCTTTGTGAACTTTACAAAAAAAACTTTACGTTACAGTTTTATACGTAAGGTTGTTTTTTTTTTTGTAAATTTAATAACTCGGTAAATATTGATGTTTAAAGAATGTAAATGCTTAATACAATTTTAAAAAGTTATCCTGTATATGTTTGTTCATTTATCGTCGCGGTTGTAACGACACGGTGTATAATGAAAGAGCTAATACAGTCATGGCCCGTACCAAATCTCGTAGGCCCATAGCCCACGTTATAGAATGAGTTATGCTCGGTATCTATCTATCTCACGAGTTCTACGTTCGATAAAGCTTTAATAATACTATACGAGCTGAAAGCAAAAACTTCGGTCAAAGTAAACTCTTTGACGGCTTCGTGGCGTATTTGCCAAGGTATTGGCTTCGGTGTCGGGGATCGTAGATTCGAGTCCCACATGGGACAACTTTTTGTGTGACCCAAAGATAATTGTTTCCTATCTGGGTGTTTGTCCACGTGAAAACTTATGTTGTTATCATTATCGTCTTAAGCCGTTGTTAATCGAAAACATGTTAACATATAATATGTCAAATACATACGGAACATCCAGTTATCGATAATCATTCGAATTATTTATAAAAAGTTTTAATTCCATTACAAATTTAAAAATGAGTAATAGCAGCTGGTAATGTATAACTTATCAACTTGATTACTTAGTCCAATAATAGAAAATACGTAATGACTAATCTCTCTCCCCACTCCTCGAATGAGTGTTATTCTACTGTATTCATAAACTGTTCACCATCTGTACATGTAAACAAAAAATGTTATGATATCAAAGTTATGAATTAATCTTGTGCCTTTTATAAGAGCCTTCGTCCCGAAAATCAGCGTTCCTACATCCGAAGTCAATATAGCCATATTATTTTCCTCTGAAGGTATACTTCATATGCAAGGGACTTAATTATAATGTCGCCATAACCAAACAGTCGTTTCAAATGGCACTCTATTGTAGGTTCCTTTAGGGAGTCATATATTTTATTGATGCTCGAAATTAATTACACGCGTACTCGACGCGTGCTATTAGTTTGGAGGTTATTCCTGACAATAAACTGACCTGAGTTACGAGAAACGTTATCATGTACATCATTACCATCATTTCAGCCACTTCTAGACCACTGCTGAACATAGGCCTCCTCCGCAAAGTACCACGAAGTACGGTCCTGAGCCACCTGCGTCTATCCACTTGCACCGCACGCCATGACCGCTACTACGGTAGACGGCCAAGAATATAAGGTTCGCCAGGAACTGGGGCCGCAATTTTTTGCATAAAACATGCATAATTAGGAGAAACACCCAGACTTGGTACATGTAGTGTTATATAATGTAAAGCGGTCCAATTTTTTAATGCGATGCATTATGGTCATGTAAGTTACATCCGCAGCTCGAACCCAGCTATACTTTGCTGATTCGCGAAATAAAAAAGTCTTGATATTGGACGTATTGCTTCCACTAATCCATTCAATTTACCCAATATAAATTATACGTACTTACTTTCAAATATTCTTAGTTTATTTTGCAGATAAGCTTCTTACAGGATTTCGGAAAACGTTAATGACTTACTACGATCTATTTAAACAATGGGGCCAGGTAGTTTGTTTCAACGAATTCTATTGTACTGCCGACTTGTGCTGATAACAAAGCTACGAATTATTTTTACTACATCTCGGGTACAAGACAATCACTCTTAAAGCTTAGTGTTTTACAGCCTATACCCGAAGAAGGTGATTTGACGAAGTAAAATGTGAACGTTGAACCAGTCTGGAACGAATATTTGCATCGAAAACATCTATAAAATAAAGAGTAGTCAGTTCGAATGTAATTGGTCTGCTCCCTAGTATATTACTTTGGACCGAAGTTGTAGTAGAATCTGTGCCCTTAAAATAAGTAAGTAAAAATACTTTTTTTGTTAATATGAAATAATAAAGTCGTGTTTACCAAATTCATTAAAAAATTGCTTACAACTTACAATATTAACCACAACTGAATTATTTCTTTAGAAATTCTACTTGAATGGATTTTTCTAATGTTTATTTTTCAAACATTATTCTAATAGGAAACATAATTTATAAATTAAACGAAATTTTCGCCCACCAAATTTAATGGATTATATGTTATCATTTAGACATCATAGAGATCTAGTTAGTAAATTTCAAATTAGCAGTAAATTTTGCTTGTTAAAGTTATGTCGTCACTGATCATAATAAAATGAATTTCAATTCTTATATGTAAAGTGGACATAATTTTTATTTTAGTTTCAAAACTTGGTACACAGGTCTCCCGGTACGATGCCGATGGTCACTGTTGCTACTTTATTGGAATTAGATGCTGCCGAAGCTCTCTTGGAGTTGCAAGGCGAAATGAGGGAGCGTGAACCAGATAGACGTAAGTAACCTGGACGTAAACCATACAAATACTTTAATAATATTTTTGCATAAGTTTCATTCGTCAAATTAAGTTGCCATAAAGAAAGATGAAGAAAGGAAAGATGGAAAGATGGAAAGAACAGTGTTACCCACAGTCCAATTATGATCAAGTACAGTCTTCAACCCCAAAGAAAACCCCTCCGATTTTTTAATCAATGACAACAAAATTTAGTTAGATAATGATAAATGTACATCTTGTACTAAGTGCTTTATGTATGTATGTATATTTTAATAATTTATTCTGTTTCATAATTTCAGCCTCTAGCCCTGCACAAATTAACGAAGAAATCAAAAGTTCGGCTACAGCGGCGCTCTTCTTAAATAGTCTGTTTCTTAAAAGAGCCGTAAGTTTCTTCCCGTGATTACTTCGTATGAAATTGTAACATTGGTTATATTAAGAGTAATAATTAGTGTAATTTAACGTACTTGGACATTTGCAGTCCAATTTGAAAACACCCGTGCCAGGCCCGAGTGCGCAAAAGCAATCATCAAGCACGACATATTTGAAAAATAACTATCAGGTGAGTGCTGTTCTAGATATAAACATCTGACTTATCTGTGGTAGGGCCACGCAGCAGTTATTGTTGTTGCACGAATGGGCAGGCTCATCTGGAGAAGTGCCACAGCGTGATGTGGAAGTACTGTACTTTCGCGATCCGCCTTGTGAGTAACGTAACCGGACCCAACTTTTAACGTTTTGCAATCCGCCAGGTGTTGTAGAATTCCGCGGTTATCCCTTATGACCAGGTTAACTGCCTGTTGCCAACTATTAACATAAAAATTCATTACATTTATTATCTTTAAGTATTTGTCCCACAGCTGGGTTAAATTATATTAAGGAAAAACCTTACTGGATTCTTTTTCATATAAACGTTTCCGTGATAACTTGACTTAACTCTTCATCGAACATGTAAATTAGCTTTACATGATTAAACAGTTTTCATGATGCCTACATCGATGTGATCTTAATAATAAATTACTTCAGATAACTAGTATAGTCTTGGACATAGAGACATATCGCGGCCTCCTATGTAGTGTACATGACGTGCGCTGAATGTGATCTAGATGAGGGTCTAGATGCATTTGTAATGGATAAAACTATGCTACCATAAAAATAATAACACATACAAAAATAACTCTAAATAACGACTCGATTTAAGGACAAACTCTTAATTACTTGACTTTTCTCTAGTTGTGTGTGTGTGTGTGTGTGTGTGTGTGTGTGTGTGCTAGTAAAATGCAAAATTAAATTATATTAATAATAATTGTTACAGCATAATAGGCACACTAATTACAATGGGATCAATAGCCTAAAATATTCAAGCCAGTTTACATCGAGACGCCAATTTAACGTCCTAAAGCGTTTGGAACCGCCATGTAAAAAACGTTTGCTACAAAAGAGTCAACCGATCAAGCCACAAAAAGCGTGTTGGTCCGAAATCGTAAATAAATCTAGGCCAGAAGACGTTATAGAAACTTGTGACAACAGTACACAAACTGAAGTAGAATATCAGTTGCCTCAAATAGGTAAAATGGAGGCCATTATAAAAGATCTGTGTGAGAAGATCGAAACATTGGAGAAAAAGCTAAAGATGCAATCTTCAGTTTCCTATTCTTCAGCGAGTATTAAGCCAAAGACAACAGACGATACCGCTAGTGATTGCAGCGACGATGTCAATGGGCAATTTTCGGCTCCTCGTACTGTGCCAAAGCGAAAACGCTTTTCAAATCACTATGATAACGATTGGGTGAGTCAAAATTAATTCATAGCTAATGTTACTGAAAAAAAGAGTGTTTATTTAAATAAACCTCAGTTGTAGTTGCATTCGTCCTCATCTAAAAATAACTTTTTAGTTTCTGTAATATTTTTAATCTTTTTAGGTTAGCAAATTTAAACTTACGTCATCGCAAAAACTAAACGGAACAGAAACTTATCACGCCAATTTATTCTTTTATTAAATTTTTAATTTTTAGTGCTAAGTAGACTCTGCATTTGAGATAGAACTTAAAAGTATGTAGATTAGACCTACACATTTTTAAGCTACGTTTAATTATTTTTTAATTATATAATCGTTTTCTTGACATCCCTTCAATCATTCTGTTAATTATTTATAATACATACTCAATATAAAATCGTTATTTATCAATGAAGCCATAACTAGTTTCGATGATTACCATAAACTAAAAAAAAACACTGAAAAGAAAGCTATCAAATCACCATAATCGTCAAATTATAATCAGTGGTCTTTTTTTTAAGGAAACACCAAAAAGTTTGTCAAAGAAAAATGTCGAGGATAATATTGAGTTTATTACCAAGACTCCTTTAAAATCCAAGAATAAAGCCAACATTAATACCGATTTGGTAAGTAATTAAAGTCACTTCATTAAATACAACTCGCGTTAATCATATTATGTTTAGATGTCACAAAAATGCATGTTCCTAAGCAGGTTCCAATTGGTGATGGCAACGCCTTGGTTCCGGGAAGGCTTTTGAAACACATGGACTGGACTTCTTATACTAATGCAACCCGAAAATTATTGAGAGCTGTTTTTCCGCGAAAGTAAGTGGTTTAAGCATATCTTCTAAGATTTTTTTTAATTCTACCGCTAAGTATTTTTTTTACTTTCAGCGTACTGGCAACCCATTCTCTCACGGGCAAACCATCGCCTGCATTTCCAAACAAGCCCGCAAAAAAACAATTAGATCCAGCTCTTGTGAACGATATTGTACAAACGGTTGTTGAAAATTGTTCGGTTCCTGAAAGTGTCGTAAGGTAAAAGTAATATTTTGAGTAAAGTGCACATTTTCTTAGATGGGGCAAAAGAATAATATATTGTTTCGACATATTCTTTTTATTGTTTTAACATTCCTAAATTTCAGAGTTTAACATATAAAACGCCCTTTGAAATTAAATATAACTGATGAAAAACAACACTTAAATATGTTACTTAACCGTAATTCTAGCGTTCTCTTTTGCATTTCTAGCATTACGTTCTCTTTCGGATGACTACTTGGTACTTGCGTCAAAATTGTATGATGCTTTCTAGCGTTAAGAATGATACACCGTAGATAATAATTATGCGATTTCGTATAATCGAATACATTAAGTAATTAATTTTACTTTGACTATTAAGCGAATCCTGATTGGAAGTACATTATATTGAAGCTGTCTGTAAAATAATATGAAATACATAGTTTAACTGCTGCGTACCATAGCAAACCATGTTCAATAAGAATATTTTCTCATAATTTGGTCTACAGATTTGTGTTGCAGTATAATCTGAGTGTTTCTTTTCATTAATTAATTTTGTATTGTTTGGTAGGACTAGTATAACCACTAAATGCGCCGATGAAAGTAAAATGTTTCGCAGTCGCATGAGAAAGAATAAGCGAACGACTGGAAAAATAAATCAAGAGAATATTCCCCCGCTGGCTTGCAGGTCCGATGAATCAGATGAATCTTATCTTTCAACTTGAATAAAAAAAACTGTACAACCGTTGGGACCAACAACGTAGGTGTATCGTCAATGTAAGTAAAGATATATTTAATCTTGTAAATATGTTTCTTTTTCATTTTGTTGGTGATGGAAATCATTACAGGTGTGATTGATATTTTTCAGATGCGAAGATATAACTATAACTCTAAGAATATTTTAGAGGAACTCGAAGAACATTTTCAGAGGTAACTCAAAGACGCAATTGGGGTAATATTAACTTCAAAGATACCGAATAAGACACGAAATAATAAAGGAATCAATAAATAATTATTATCTGTGATAATTAGATTAAGGAATTATCAGAAATAAATAAGTGAAATTATAGGAAATGAAAACTACTTCTTTAGAACTTTATGTAAGCTAATTTTTTGTACGCTGGATAATAGTTTAAAAGACCAATGTAAATATTACTATTATGTGCGTTTAAATTGAAATGAGTACATATAGAATTGATGTTGTTTTATTTTTATCGCTAGCAACATTAACCGAGTAACGAATGACAGTTGTTGATTGCGAATGGTTGACCGATGACCGTTGAATGAATTGAAGACTTGAAGATCAATTGAAAAGAGAATAGACCTAGACGTCAATTGAATCTGACTGACGAAATCGTTAGTGTAAAAAATAGTCAAACGTGAAACGTCAAAAACTAAAACTGTGTTGTGTTGGAATGGAAGAATATTAAAAATAATATTTTTGGAACAAATTATGCAATTACACTGCGATAGTAGTACGTTATTTGACGACGCGAAGAATATTAAATAATGTCAAACGATACGGATCTGTTTATATCAGTGCCGCGCTCGTGTTTAAACGATTTTTATAGCAAATATCTGAATTTAGTTGAAACTTTTTACTATGTAACTTTGTCCGAGGGTAGATCGACTGTGGCGAAAGAGAAACCTGATTACGTGTTTTTCAATGTTATATTTAATTTAAGTCCCGTGGAAGGCAATTTTAATCCACAAGAATTGGTCGCCCGAATTCAGGTAATATTATTTTTGAAAAAATTTTATGAACAATTTATTTTATAAAATGATTTATTGTACTGGTCTCGTATACTTATTGTTTAAATATCAAAGCACATATAAACTTTAATTTATAATCGTAGATTTTATATCCATCGTTCTTATTAAGTAATTTGATATTGTTGTTGACTACATATTGTTTTTAGCATTTAAGTATATTTACAATACTTAGTATACACTTTCATTGATAACATATATAGAAGAATGAATTGTTCATTACTTTTAATTTTATTATTAGTAAACTGACTGAACCATTTAATATGTTAAAAATTCTGTTTCATTTAATTGTCATCTATATGTTAACATAATTATTTATACATTTTTGATTATTTGATTCATTATCTTAACATTAATAATGAAACAACGAAAATATAAATAATCTTCTAAATGAGTTCATAATGTTAACATTGCCAGCATAACATTTCCCAACACATGTGTACTAGCAAGTCAGTTGCAATAACATATGCAACATGCCCTGCAAGCGTTTACACAGTTGAAACACATCTTTAATAATTAGATTTAGTAAAATGATTCAAACAGCTATTTTAAGAGCTATTATGTAATTTATGTGTCTTTTAATTAAAGAAAATTTACAATAAATTAACATACAAAATTACACTGTCCCTTCTGGATATTGTAGTCTATCTAGTAAAGTAACTATTTTACTCTTTAGACAATATCTCTTATCTTGAAAAAACCTTCAAGGACAAATATTTAATGTAGTAAGTAAATTATGAACATTTACTAAGCTCTATAACTGTTTTTTAATGCAACTGTAATCTTTAATTTGATTAAATGAAAAGAGGTCTAAGTTTAGGACAACAAAATGTTAGGGTTGTCAAACATTATAATATATAGATCATTTCTGGTCATTTTCTTTTCGAGACAGTTAGTAAGAGGATGATCTTAAAAAGTATATGGGTTTTCTACTGTTTTCCTGATACATATCTTACACTTCATACAATAATTCTGATTGTAGATGACAATGAGGGGAGACCTCTGTTTTAAAAATGAATATTAAAACAGAGATAATCTACCTCTTTCTAGATAAAAGGTAAAATAATTATTTCTGAAAATTAAATTATAAGGATATGGCTGATATGTTAAGCACAACTATTGCAGTGCTAGGTTTGCCAACTGTTTATTTCGAACCATTCATTTGATAATAAGGGGAGGGTTTACGTAAAGGAAGACCTGAATCCAGTAAACAACCCTTATGGTTGTTTACTGGATCCCACGCGGCATACGATGTCTTCGAGTCGTTTATTTGTTAGTAAGCGCGTTACGGGTGGCCTAAAAAGCACTGGGGCCGCGCACCGTTTCCGGATCTAGCGCGACACACGGATCGGATGCGTCGGAGTGTTGCGCTCGCGGCGGGGGCCGGCCGCGCGCTCGTTTGGGGGCCGCGGCGCGTTGCAGTGGGCGCGCAACCCGGATCTCGCCGCCCCGCTCCCCTTCACTGTGCCGCCGAGCGTACATGCGCCGGCGCAGTACGGCGGCACGGCCGCGCCGCCGCCGCCAGTAACCGCGCGCCCGACGCCGCGTCCGCACACGCGCGATGACAACGCCCCCACACACCGGCGCGCGCAATGTACACGATCGACGGCAGCCAGGTGAGCGCGTCGCATGCGACATGCGACACGATTGGGACCGTGCCCCGGTCACGGATGTCGGGGGCCCTGCTCGTATTGTGCGCACCCGGAAGCGTCGCGCGGCTATGCTATGCTAATCGCAGCTATGCTATGCTCGATAATTTACGTGTAGGACACCGCGCCACTATCCTCCGAATCCGTGCGCGCGGAGTGTGCGAGATATCGGAGTGGTGTGTTGTATTTTTCGTCTCCGCCGCGGTCGAACGTAGAAAAACAAAGCGGCGTATGTTATGTAATTGCATCCTCCTTTTATTTTTTCGTACGAGATCAATAGATCAGTACAATTTTTATAGTCGAATGTTGTATGGAGAAAATTGAACGCGGTATGAACTATGATATAAAGACCATTATTAATGTAAAAATTATATCGTATGCTGGCAAGTTCCTTGACCTGAATACGGTGGTTTTATCGATAAATAGATAAATAGGCCTGTAACGCCAAATGTTCATCCTGTGAATATTTTTATTTACTATTTTAAGTATTATTTATTACGTTGAATTAACATAATCGTTACCTTATCAGAGAGATCGTCATTGAAAAATGTTGCCTTTATGGGCTTATTTAATTAATTCCACTACGTTTGAGAATTCCATCTGTGGAATACATTATTGAACGAACAAGATTTTGCACGTCACAAGCGATAGTATTAACATGTTGGGTCAGGTTTGTGGAACTAATTTTCAAATTAGTGTCAAACAAGGAGGCAAATCCATAAGCAAAAGTCTCTCGGCGACTGAGAATACGATCTGCTAGGCTGAGGCAATTTAATGTTCGAATAGAAAAGATACGAAGGCAACAGTTATATCACATACAACACTAGAAAAAATAATGCCGTCGTCGTGAAATACTTTAACTCATAATCTTAATATTGAAAGAGCAAGACAGGTTATAGCTAGTTTAAACCATAATTTCGTAAAACTCTTTTAAAAAAAATACATACGTCTAACACCTTTACACCATTTTATTACCATACCAGCAATTATTTATATATTTTTTTACTTTTAAGTAAAGCGATACTATGTAATACCACTAGAGTTATTTAAGACTAATTTTGTTTTAAGGTATATATTTGCTTATTTTCAACATCTCCAGGCGTTAGGTAGTCGATTTAATTAGAAACTGACAGATAGCGGTTGTTGAATTAATTATATTGTCGATATAAGGTAGGCGTTATAAAAACTATATATGTCCTTGAATTTTAATAATATAACAGATAATAATGAAAATACAAACCAAAAGCATGCATCCTTGTTATGTGGTGTATTAAGAAAATTGAAATCAGTTATTTGGATTTGTTAAAATAAATGTTATCAATACAGTGAATATGTATGTACTTTTCTCTTGACGTTGTGAACATGAAGCATTAAACAATAAACAAAATATATTACACGTTTTTAATCAATGCATGAGAGAGAAATTGCTTATGAATCGATATATCGATATATTATTTACCCCTAAACAGTATGATCGTATGAATATTTCTTTTCCAGTGCAAAGGCACTGTTTTTGTTAGAGCACGATGTTTTTCCGTTTCTTACGCCCGGTTTCTGAGACACTGATCATCGTAGATGTCAACTAATCAGCTGGTTAAATTTAAGCCAATGATAGTCGTTAAATCGTACTGTTACCTATTGACAGTCCAGTCGTAGTGATAAAAACGTATTTTTAATTATTTACGTTAATTTTAATGTACGCACTTAGTATTCTTTAAGGAACTATCTATGCTTATCTTATGTTTACTCCAGTATGTCCATTTTAATAGGCGGAATGATTTACGATAAAATACACGCTCTACCGGTCCGGTGTGACTCATGAACATTGTGGCAGTAAGAAGATTAGTTTTACGTGTTGATGATCCATATATAAGATTTTTAAAAGTAATCCAATTTAAATGCGCCAAATTTCAATGAAAATTGCACACTGAAATTTGGTGCATATTGCCATCGTTAGCCTCGTAAATTATTTCTACACCACAAACACACCAGGATTGCCACAAACACATCATTGTTTCTCTCATTATAAAGAAGTTTTTTCCATTTATAACAGCTATTCTGTCATACTCTCGTATACATGCTCATGTGCATGCACCTTCCCATTATTTTAATGATGTCTGATTTGACCCCTTGTATTGTCCAAAGTTATTCATCCGTGACATTAAAGATACAATACGTATGATAAATTATGTTTATATGTAAATTGATAGTACGGAATTTAAGTTGATAAAATATTAATTGGAAACACATTTCCAGTTTCACATATTACAAGTATTCCGAGTTTCGAACTGGCATTTCACATACGTAGAAAGACCCAGGTGACCAAACTGTGATCTTTTCCTTTTAAATAATCGAATACAGAACATAAAATTTATAGTCGTTATATAAAAGTTAAATGTTTTCAAGGCACGTTTATTGTAATAAGTTTTATCGAATTACTCCGTTTACCACCTTAACAGTCTTCCACTTTCACTGCCTCTCATCAGTTGTGATTCAGTTAAGCTCTAGCTAGCTAGTTGATGATTGAAAAAAGTAATCAATCTGTACGCAACTACGTTTATTCAGTGACAAATTAAAGAAAAAACAAAAAAAAAACGTCATCGCAAAAACTTCTCAGCCGCCGTTACAATATAACTCAATTTCAATTCGTATCGGGATGATTAAGTTGATCGTCTTCCTGTTGTCGAAATATCTTATATTTCAAACGACTTTATGGCTGATTAATCGATAAGACTGCCTTCCGAGTCAAGGATACCGGATCCAAATTGCTTGGCAGTCTCACATATTTTGTGTTTGCGCGACTCGCGCACGTCAATTGCTTAAAACAACACCTTTGTCTTCGTTTGTTGTATTTTTTTTCTTCTTTTCAATGTTCATGCATGTTTTGTACTTCGGTTCGGCAATGAAATATATTCAGTCATGTTCCTTTTACCTATGTCATTATTTCTCTATATTGTCTCGTCTATGTTAATTTATAACCTCATCGCGAGTTATCAAGCCGCATTTTAATCAGGTGAAGGTGTATTCGTTTTGAGCTTTGCTTATACAAAATCAGTGATACAAGGCGATTCAATAAAAGGCAAAACGTTTAATGGTACCATAAAATAAACTGATCACTTCTTTCTTGGAATATTTACATAATAAATACATTTATTTACATACAAGTTATTCCTATATCGTCTCTGATTTAAAAGGACATTTAGGAAATTTGTAACGTGCAACTCGATGACGATTTCGTGGTTGGATTCATATTGTATAGTCTCAATTGTTAAGCGATGAGCTTATCGCTGTAAGGTAGTTACTATTTGGTATTTGCATTTCATTTAATAAATACGAAACAAACTTCATCAAAATCAAGGATCTCTCTCAGAGCTTACTAAGCCAAAAATTAATACAAAAGCGAAAAATAGTTCAGAGAACTTTCGCAACAATTTAGGTCGCAATATTGGTCCACATAAAGAATAAAAAACAGACTTACCTCGCTGCGATAGTTATGCCTACAGAACCAGTTTCCAATTTTGTAACTGAAATACTGTATACTTACGAATTTTGACATTTATGTAAATTATTCACTTACGTAATACTATTACATTTAATTCTGATTTATTCGCTAGTTTTTTGGCCTTTTTAAATATAAATTGTTTTCTTCTTTACATTATAGTCTTCATATGTTACTTGATAATTTAAGTTATTTAAATTTAATTTCTATTTTGGCTTTATAAAATTCAAGAAAAATAAACACTACTAACCACTAGGTAAAAACCTTTGGCTGCGATTGAAATACTTATTTGTTATGTATTAAATGCCCTAGTTTTTTATTTGTATATATTTTTAGTAATCATGCTAAATTATATTTACAGTTGAGGAGACGAGAGGAATAAAAATAATAAAAAAGACATAGGTTCATATTTATGGCCAGTGTCAATATTCTATATGTCAGTAAATTTGATTTTTTGGAGATAGAATTTCGACGTAAGTAGCTGGTGACCAACTCTACGGATAGTAATAGAATAAAAACCAGCCCTTGTTGATATGTGAATCGTACGTTCGATAAACTTGCGGCCTACGAGTGTAACACAGACGGAATGATATAAAAGGGAAACTCGCGTAATTCCTCCGTCTCGTAGGAACTCGGCGCACGCACTTTCACCCGTTTCGAGCGGTTGCGATTTAAATAAAGCCGTCCGTTCGCGGATTTGAATTTAACAGGTAAACTTACGCACCCGGCGCTTGATAATTGAAGGCTGCGTGTGCGGAATGTCAATCGACCCGGGATCCGCATCTATGACCGTCGTCGATAACTTTCATGTCCGCTTTCATCGCTCTACGTTTGTATCGCGACCGAAGTTGATTCTAATCGCTTAACATTCCTCGCTGTTAATTCGTTTCGCTGCTTGACAAGAACAAATCCGCCGCCATCGTTTTAACCTGCGAAACGCAGTCGATAGTTTTCGATTTTGTAACCTTTGACAGTTATCGGCGTGGGTAAATTTATTAGCCGCAACCCACAAAATAGTGACATTCCAACGGAGTCGGAAAAAAAATTTGAATACTATAAAGAAGTTTTAGAATCTGTCAACAAATGGCGGAGAAATCGGTGAACATACAAAGTAATTCATGCAGTCGAACATAGAAACTCCTCCTTTTTTGAAGTCGGTTAAAAAGCGTAACCCTAAAACTACAAATCGTAGGAAAATGAATGTGAAACCGAAAACATCTGTTGCCCTTCATTCGTTCTACACATACCTTGCTTTACGTTACATCTTATTTGTTTGGTGCTACTCTTTGTGGGGAGTATAGCATGGTAGAGTACAGCATGGTTTTGGGGCGTTCCAATTACCATCGGACGTAAAGGTCCATTCGTCAATTTTTCTGATATGAGAAAACAATACTACTTTTGCTCGCAGTGAATAAATATAATTGCAAAAACTTGCTCATTGTATTGCAATTCATCAAACGGATCTCTTACAGAAGAATAAAAT